TTCTCTGGAGATGAAATTCTTGAACCATATTTATGACAGGTGAATAAGGTTTCAACACTTAAATTTTACTTCTGTTGATTTAAAATTGTAGGCTGTGATGAAAACTAGCAATTAGCTTTGTCATCCTAATGTCAAATATAGGAGTCTCTCAGACCTGTCTTCAAACTGGGATTCGATTAATGTTTTGTCTTTGACAAATATGAGAGCACACATTTGGGGTTTTTTTTTGCACTGTGGTAGATGCCCAGAGTAGAAATAATACTGAGTGATTTTCTTTGGTGTAGATACACTTCTTTGAAACTTTGGAAAGTATGTAAGCAAACAAGATAAATTATATAAGCATTTAAAATGGAGTTCTGGATACCACAGATATTGTCATTCCCACTAACAGCTACTAGATGGGGTTCAGAAGCAAATTCCAAGTAGAGACACTTGTAAACTCTTACAAATTTTTAACTAGAAACTTCAAGTCTCATCATGGAACAGTCATATTGGAACAGGGATCTTGAACAAGTGGCAAGGAATGCTCTGGTCTTCACAAAAGTGAAATGATTATATGAAAAACTTTGGCTTCTCATTTGCCTTTATGACTCCTTTTTCATAGACTTTCTCTGCCTTTGTTTTTCCAACTGGTCTTCTCAGAAGTGCTTCTCTTTTGGCATGTTGCAACTGGAGATCATGTCTTGCTCTTTTATTTGTAGTTTTGGGCATCATTTGTGCCACCTACCCTGAATTCATATGTAATATTCCTGATACCCTAAATTGTCAGATTTAGTAGAATGTACACTTGTGTCTTTTAAAACAAATGTTTTTTAAGATTCGCTGTGTTCTTTTGGATTCCTACTCCACTGCCAGGATCTACAAACATGGCATGTAAAAATTTGCTGATCTGTATAAAATAAGGAGCTTTTGTGGGTTGGGAATGTTAAAATAATGTGATGGTGGTGATTAGTAGAAAAGCAGAGATCCAATTTAAAGGAATAGGTTAATATACTGACCATGGTGTGGTGGGTTCATCTTGGCCAACCACTAACTCACTCTCCCTCTTCAACAGGACAGGGCAGAAAATACAATGCCAAGGCCTGGCTGTCGAGGAAAGTCAGGGAGACTGGCCCCCAGTTACCATCGCAGTAAAAAGCAGACTTGGCTGGGGGAAAATTATTTTAATTTCCTTCCAGTTAAAGCAGATATGTGTAGTGAGAAGCAAAGGCAAATTAAAACAAAATGTTCCACCATCGTCTTCCCCTTCTTCCCAGGTTCATCTTCCATTCTTCATTCCTGACTCATCTACCTCAGTCCCCACCCCCCGTGGCACAGCAGGATGGGGATGGTTGTAGTCAGTACATAGCACATCCTCTCTATTCTTCCTTCCTCTTCACACTTTTTCCTTCCTGCAGCTTGGGTCCTGCCCATGGGCTGCAGTGCAGAATCTTTATTTATTTGTATGTTTCTGTGCTCTCTGCTTTGGGCCTTATATGTTAATTGCTTTGTAAAAGAACCTGACATCCAACAATGTGATATTGTATTAGCCCATTTAAGAGCTGGAAGTTGTGCTATTATCATCAAAACTGTAACAATTTAAACATAGCTGAGTTGTCTCTTTCTGCCTGTTTTCAGCTATAAAAGCAATAGTGCATTAGACTTTTTGCCTAGTTTAATCTACTTTGTGCTTTGTTATTTTAATTTTCATGCAAATTAAAAATGGTAATGTAGCCAAACAATTCTCTAAAGGTCCCTCATCTCATTTTAAAGTAAACTGAAATATTTACCCCAGAAATGTTTTTACATGTGAATATTTAAATATTTGTAATTCTTGATTTGAAGGTTTTTTTGGTATGGGTTTTTTGCTGCTTATTTTGTGTGTGTGTGTGTGTTTGTATGTTTTCTAAAGCAATCAAATCTGGAATTGATTTGGTTTCTTTCACTGTGCATTTTTCACCAAAATTTTCACTCCTATGTTAGGCATGGTGTTTGCTCTTCTGAATTAAAAATTAATTGACCTATTAGCATTACATCATTGTACAGATATTTCCAGGAAGTGATGTTTGTTGATGAGACTGCAAATACAAACATACTACCCCCAGCATATTGCCTTTTTCACAAATAAGAGTTATTCCAAAAAGTTCTTCCCTCTTCCAAAAAGAGTTATTCCCAAGTTCTGTTCCAAATCAAAATTGAACATTAATTTCATGAACCTTTTGCCATAATCACTGAAGCAGATGGAAATAAGAATGGCTTGGTGGTTTTGTCTCAGATTAAGAGCTGCGTCCCATGACATGGAGGGAAATGTGCTCACACCAGCCCCAAAATCTCTGTCTGGAGTGCTGGCAGTGGGTCTGTGGGCACCAGGCTGCCACTAGGAACTGAGGAAAAGAGGAAATTCCTTTGGTGCTTGTAGCCAGCACTGCCTGCTAATGGTGTGTGTGACACCACTGGCAGCCTGGCTCAGTGTGGAGGGCCAGTTCTCCAAAGAGATGGGACACAAGTGTGTTTAGCCACGGCCTAAGTTACCTGAAATACCAGGGATATAATGGCTCACACTGCTCTGACAAATCAATCTTCACCTTGATCAAGTATTCGGGGCTTAAAAAGACATGCTCTGTCATTGTCCATCAAATCACTCACATTTTTCCATGAAACTTTAGCTTCTTGGCTCCTGGAACAGAACTGATGAAAACTTAGGTGTGGTCTGATTAATGGTTTTACCATTTGCTTCTGCCCTTCCTGCCTGCATCTGTGGTGGCCTCTTGCATTATCTATCCCCAGATTATAAAATCTTGAGATTTTATCATCTCTTTTCCTGGCAGGTCTTCCCTCTCTACCTCCAGCTCTCAAAGCTTCGTTCTGCTCCTTTATTCCCTTTGGTCAGAAATTCGTTCATTGTTATTCCTTTAAAAGTTGGCCTTTTGCAGTATTTTGTTTTTACAGTGTACTGCTTAGTAATTTATCTCGAATGAGAGCAAGAAGCATCTGTTATGTGACAAAATACAATGGCTTGTGGTATGCACAAATAATGTCTCTAAGCTGTCCACTTGGATAAAGTAGCCCTTCTTTGGGTCAGTTTTTGTGCATAACATTCCTCCTGGGAAGTTACTTTGGATAAATCAAGAAACTAAGGTTTTGGTCTGTGAAATTTAAGTGCAAGATGGGAATATAACTGCCTGGTAGACAAAACTAAAGATAAAATCAGTAATAACAGTAGTCTGGCAATACAAGCATTGGTTGATTTAAAATAAAATCTAAAAAATCTAATTAAAAGGATTTGTGAGGTGCCAAAAATGAGGTTGTCTATTATAATTCTGCTATAGATCCATACCAAATTAGCAAAATCTCTCATGACAGATATCTTTAAATAGTCTTGCCTTTGCATGCACATACATTCCTTGCTGTTCTCCGAACATTTATTTATTGATACGGGCTGTGTAAAGGCAAGAAAATTAGATTATTTGTTATGTTAAACACATTTCCACATTGCTGATGTTTCATTATACTGCTTAAGCTCCCAGCAGGAACTTTAATTTTGTGTGTATTTTTAAAAAAACATTCCAAGCAAAAGCTTTGAGAAGCAGCAGTTTTATAATTCTGAGAGTCTAGACTATTCAGTATAACTTAAGCAGGAACTTTAATTTTGTGTGTATTTTTAAAGAACATTCCAAGCAAAAGTTTTGAGAAGCAGCAGTTTTATAATTCTGACAGTCTAGACTATTCAGTATAACTTAACGAGAAATGTTTTTTGGAAACAGAACTTTATGCTTATCCTTTCCTGTTGTGTTTTTCCTTTCAGTAAAGAAAGGATGCACAAAGATAGATTTTGTGGGTTTAGGAAACAGATGATAGCATGCAAAGCCTCATGTTTATATGCACTGTGGTGTTTTGACCTTTATTTAATGGTGTTTTTTGAAAACTTCAGAGCAGGTCAGTGAAGGGTGTACTCAGTGTTTGAGGTCAGCAAGTGAAAACAGACAAGGGTCATCTGCCCCTTATTGTGTGTGTGAGGGGTGACGGTCTGTATCTATTTATTTGAAATTTTCTTAGCCAGTCTTCAAAAGAGCTAAAAGAAAAAAAAAAAAAAGAAACAACATTATCTAATCAAAGCTGCTCAGTCAACTAATGACGTCAAGTAGTAACCTTAACCTTCACTTTCTCACTGTATTTCCTTTGGACTATAAGCTATTTAATATAGCTAAAAATTACCTCATCCATCATAGCAATGTAGCCTTTTTCTGTGCTTCACTGTGTAGTGGGTTTATCAGCACTGGGCATGGGAATGAGGTGAAGAATAATTTCTTCTTTAATTGAATTTGCAGATTGGAATGTTGGGAGGAGAAGGGGCAGCAATGGGCTGTGCTGGCACTGGGCCAGCACCCCAGGTTGTCAGTTCCCTGTGAACCAAGAGTGCTTTAATGACTGCACAGACTGGGTGCAGAGTGTGGAATAAATGCATTCAGTACTGCAGTTGTATCTAACATGAATTTTGAGCTACAGCAGTGATTTAGAATAGAAACATGACCTGTGTGTGGTTGTGGTCCGTGCTGACTTGGCTGCTGTGTCTGAGAAAGATGATTGCAATGTGTGATGAGAGCGGGTGTCAGGTGCTATCATGGGGAAATAAAAGCACTTATTACCTTGTGGTGTGATTTGTTCATATGACCTTGCTGTTGGAAAGAATAATTTTGCCTTCTGGTATCATTTACAACAGCATGTCATTTCTTCCTGCTGTTTCCAGTAAAAGTAATGAGGCTGCTTAGGATACTCAGAGGTGACCTGATGTGCACATTGATAATTAGAGCAGGTGTCATTCTCAATTCAGTTCTCAGTATTGTAGAGAATAATGGGGTATTGCTTTTGTGAAAGGGAAGCTGGTAATTGTCAAATACTTAAAAATTAGCAGTTAAATGGCAGTTGGCAAGTCCTTGCAGTAGTAAAATCTTTTTTTGTTGTTTTTCTCGTTGCTTATGCCAGTCTAGAATACGAGAATCACAGATTTCTTTTTTCCTCAGAGTATGGCGGCATGGGTTTGGACTTCTCCTATAATATTGCAGTGGCAGAAGAGCTGGGAAATATCCATTGTGGAGGTATTCCCATGGCCATTGGAGTGCAAGCTGGCATGGCTACCCCTGCTCTTGCAAGGTAATTTTCAGAAAGTTTGGTTTAGCCTAAAACCCAATTGTCATGAGTAGAAAAAAAACAATACTGTGTAGATTTACTGCCTACTTGCTACTCAGTAATGCCTGAGGAAAGAACCTATTCTCTACTTCTCTCAGTTTGCTTTAGGGGAGAAAATACTTTCTCTTTTTTTTTTTTTTTTTAATGGTTGAGTTATATTGATTATATATTAAAACATAAACCTTGTTGAGTTGTAGATAATATGTTTACAAACATAAAAAATTGGTACCAAAACCAATTAAAAAATTTAATTCCAGAATCCAGTTTGTTCATGTTTTTATTTTTTCTTATATCCCAGTGCAGTAATACTAAGGATGCATTTAGTTGTAATGATTAGGATCAGTCTAATTCTGCTTTATAATTTACTTGCTCTTTTTCCAGCTTTGCAAGGTGTCAGTCCTAAAGTTGTAGCACATATATCATGCTTCCTAACTATGCTCATTCTAGGCAATTAATAATTTTTCTTTTTCTCATCAGCTACATCAGTGTACCCATTTTAATCACGTATTATCATTCAGGCTCCTGCATTTTCTTAATCTGATTTGTTGTGTGTTTTTCCTCCCTGTCTTGGTTTGGAAAGACAGGTGCCTGCTAAGGAAGGCAGGAGCCTCTCCTGAAATGGAGAATATAAACCCCCTCCCGCCCCCCTCGAATTGCTATGAATTTTAAATTTAGGGGCTCTCACTGGAGGTCTCATCTACAACAAATTTTTCTTAAAGTTCTCATCTCCTTTGCATAATGCAAGAAAAGCTTGCTAAATGCAAGGAGTTCAGTATGTCTCTTGCAGCAGTGGCTTAACTATAGTCCAACTGAGAATAAGAATAGTATTTTAAAAGACTTTGGACAGTACTACCTTGCCCCCATGACAGCCTTTTATTTAGGGGTTTAAAGAAAATCTGTCAGTAAAAGAAGATGGGATTTTGTTCCACTGCAGACTTTTCGCCTTGTGTTACTCTGTTCTACTGTAGTAAAACAGTAAAGTTATGCATATTTGTGCTAGTGAAATCCTAAAGTGGAAGTTCTTGGAAAATAAGACTGAAATTGTTGTTAACTTGATAAAATCTTTAATTGAATTTGTATCTGCATTATTGAATTTCTCCTCCACTGCTGAGCCAATTCCACTGGCTATTTATACAATGCCTCCCCCCTCCCCACCACCACCACATGTAAAAGTACAACTTGGTAATGAAAAGAGAAAGCTGGTTGCTACAAGAAATTTTGCCTGCGTGCATCTTTATCTCATGCTGTGTGTGGGAAGATCAACTGCTTGTCCTGGGTCATGGATTCAAATGGCACCCATGTCCTGGATGGTTTCTTTAAAGGTATCTGTGTGCTGTGGGAATTCTAAACGTGTTCATAGAGATAAGTCAGATTTTGCATCTTGGCTGTGCATTGTTGCACAAATCAAACAATAATGTGGGAATCAACCATCAAACCCTAAAAAAGCCTCTGTAGCTTTTTGTTGGCTTTCATAAACTTGGGCTTTGTTCAGCATTCATGCCGCACACATTGAGTGTACCTACAAACTCAATGAATGTGATTCCTGTAATTCCAGGAGTCCCCTAAGTGAAGCAGTAAGATTTTCTAAATGTAAGGACTAAATAGAAAATGCTCTGTCCGCAGTGATCTGACTTTGATGGCTTGGAACTTAACTTTCTGCCAGGTCTTTCCAAATGCATTCAGATATAATAGTGCCCTTCTTGCTTACAAATAGAGTGGAGAAAGCAGCTCCTGGCTGAGGCAGTGAATAAGACACATTTCCCAGAGTTTATAGACATGCCTGTAGGGTGTCACATCACCAAATCAGTTTAGAGCTGCTAGTCTCAGCAGTAGGCAGTGAACTTTCCTTTTTTTTTTTTTTCCCAGTTGTTCATAGGCAAATAGTAAGCAAATTTAAGATGGGTAGAATTTTACAAAAGTGGCATGTTTTTAACAGAAAAGCTAGCAGCTGAGCAAGAAGCTAGCTGTCTCCTGCAAGGCATAGAGACCTACCATCTTCTGAAGATAGTGTTGCCCAACCAATTTGGTTTTTTTTTGATTGCAAAATAACATCTATAATCACATTTTTGGAAAGAACTGAACTGTTTTCTGGAACTCCAAACAAAGAAAGACATCAAACCAAAATATTATTCTAAGCAAAGTTCTTGCTGTGAAAATCCTCTGTTGAAATGCTAAAGGTTAGCAAAGTTTCAAGCATTAGAAAGCATTGCCAAAAATCACCACTATCTGCTCTCATAATCTGATTTTCCATGTTGTTGGTTGGGCTGTTTTGGGTTTTTTTGATGATGAATGTGCAGCTAGCCATACTTGATCAGGCCCCATGGAAAATTAAAAAACAAAGTTTGCTGCCTAACAGACATGGGTACTTTGCTCTAGAATGCTAGAGGAAGGAGTAGGCACTTCAGACTTGCTAGTTGAATTTATTTGGGATTGCTGCTGTGATTTTCAGCAGGGACAGGACTAGGAATTGAGCTCCTTGTGCACACCAAATGGAAGTGTCTGCCACATCCCTGTCCCATGTCCTTTGTGCCAGGATTGTTTGGAGGGCATGACTTAGTGTTAGCTTGAATGGCAAGCCCCTTTGGAAGTAGTGGGACAATGTTTCAGAAGGAGGCCCCAGCGAGCCTAAGGAGGTGAGTGGTGATGATGACCTGAGAAGCCTCACAACAAAGAGGAGGCTGAGGAGGAACTTGAATTTATGGATTCCTGGACACCGAAGACATTTCGTGACCGAAGGAATTTTTCAGTGGCACAAGAAAGGTCTGAGAACTAGATCATGAACTCACTGTTCACACTGCAAGAAGAAATCAGTGAATTCAGTGAATTTTAATTAGGACAAAATCAAGCATGAAATGAGATATAGCATATCTTGAATGGATGCAGTCTTCTAAACAACAGGAAAACAGCGTGTGCCTTTTAACTGAATTTAAATACACCCAAGTGAAATTTTTGTGTTAAAATACCATCCACAGTTTGCTGTTTCCTTTTTTATTTTTGTGGAGATAAAAGAACAGCTGGAAGAAGCATTAATGCATTTTACTGTGTCATTTAAATGTAGTTGTGAAATAGAAATAATTTAAATACAGGTATTTGCAGATTGTGGCCATCACATGTCAAAAGTTTTCATTCACCACTAAAACCTGGCAAAGAGATGGTGCAGAACACCAGAGACCAGCAAGTCCTCCATCCTGTTGGTTGCAGAGTAGTGCAGGAGCATTGAGAGGAATCCTCAGGGGTTATATTTATTTAGATCTGGAACTATTAAAGTAACAGCCATGAAGATAGATTTTGGCCATCTAGACCACACGTTTCTGTTGGAGTAAGATGCCTGAATGCTTTTTAAAACTTCTTTGAAATTATTGTGACTGCGCTTCTGGTGAAGACTGAATCACAGCTTTGGAGGGTATTTATTCTATCTTTTGGCTCTGGGACAGCTTTTACCTATTTATAAGAAAATTGATCACTGTGTGGGTAGAACAAAATTTGTAACTAACTTCTGAATAAAATTTACCTTCATAGGGTTTTAATATCCTATTTTTTTCGTTATATTGTTGCAGGTTTGGTTCTCATGAGTTGAAAAAACAGTTCCTCGTACCAACTGTAGCTGGTGATTTTGTGGCTTGCTTGGGAGTCAGTGAAGTTGGAGCTGGGTCAGATGTCGCAAGTAAGTTAACCTAGCAAACTGTCAGTTTTAGACAGCCTGATGTTTTAATGGAAAGAATCTGTTTTTCCTGACCCTTCACTTTTCCCCCATCCTTTGTAAGAAACAAAAGGAAGGAAAGTCTGGTGTGGCGAGGGCAAAAAGTAACATTCCAGGAATATAACACATCCTTCTCATGCATCCAAAAGCAATCAATTTTATCATATTTGTCAGGTGAATAAAGGGAGTAACCTTGTATAGGCTGAGCACAATAGATTAATGCAACTTTTATCCTGGCCCCAATTTTCTTCTAGTGCTGTCCTGCTCTGTGCAGGCTCACTGCTGGCAGGAGCACTCCAGCACCTCATCAGCTGCACAGCCACCTCCAGTACAGGGAACATCACCTGTTCAGCTGCCTGGACAAAGACCTTTCCACTGAACGGGGGAAAACTACAGAGCCTCTCTGCTCTGAAAATGATGGCATCACTTTTGGAATTGTTTCCTCTTGTTCATCCTTACTTCACCTCAGCCCCTTCTGTCATTCCTGTGAAGCAAAAATATCTCTCAATTGGTGATTGCTTTATTTAGAGCTAATGAAGGATTTACAATGTCAAATCTATTATCTTTTTGATTAAGTGACTTTGCATGCAACTCTTTTTCTTGGTTTAGCGCAAGAATATGTTTACAAACCTGGACAAATGAAACTATTATTCTGAGGTGCCTGAGGCAGTCTAAAATTTGAAAAATTAAATTAAAACATATATGGCTGAAAAAGAAAAGATGTCTCCTGTGATGATGAATCATGGACTTCACGGAAAAGGGAATGATAAGTGACGACTTTTATAGGTTTAGTTGTTGGACAGAGCATGGCCAAGTTGACCATATTGTGTTCTTACAAATTACTGAGACATCTTCCCGCAGACAAACTTGCCAAGTATGACAGATATTTTTAATCCAAGCACTCCTGTATCCACCTCTGTGACTAAACTCCTGTTGTTTTTTCAAGGCAAATAGACAAACATCCAGTGCTCGAGCAAGGTTGCAGCAGGTAGATTTCAAGAACATTAATTTAGATAATGAAATAATGGGACTAAATCTTCCTGCATATTTTATTGCTGTTTTCCTTTCTGGGTTAATTGAGTTTATTCATAAGAAGAATTCCATAATTTTAGTAGAGGTGTTTATTAAATAGTACTTATTAATAATACGTATTAATTATGAATAATAAATATAAAAATATTGAATTTCAATATAATTTAAACTACATTATTGTTTGTTATAATGTAAATATTATTAAGAATTAAATAACAAATCTTATAATAGCACTTAATAATTTATTTATTAAGGTAATTATAAATTTGAATTTTGCTAATGTAAGAAATACAACATCATTTATTTTAATAAATGCCTCTCTAGTTTAATTAGATGACTATCAGAAAATTCTAAATAGGAATTTAATTTTCTGGATGCAGTGTTCCAGATAATAAGTAATATAAATATTCCTTCAATCTTATTTATCATCTAGTTAAAGTGGTATGATACACATAGATGAATGCAGTTAAAAACCAATTTGGAATCAAAGAGGATTATCTACTGAACCTGTGCTGCATCTTGGAGACACACTACAGGATGAAATGTCCCTTCCCTTCCCGTGTCCTGGAAGATTTGATCCCTGATATAAATGCCAAATCCAGCTTAGATTGCTTCTGAAGGGCAATTAAATGAGCAACAAAAGCTTGTGTTCTGAGTTGCACCATTTTACACCATCTCCAGATGGCCCAGCTGTAAACAGACTGAGGTGTGTGAAACTGCACTTGGTGCTTCCCTTTGTTGCTGATGCTATTGGGATGTTTGTCTCCCTAAGAGAAGTGAAGGGCTGTGGCTGCTGTTCACAGATGTGAGTTGGGGATGTGCTTCTGCCATATGAGCCAGTATACTTTAACCTGAAGAATGACACAGAGTAAGGTATCTCTAACATTTTTTCCTGCAGTTCCAAAATAACTGAAGGTGATCTGAACACAGAAAACAAAACCAATGTTTACATGAGAACTGAAATGTGCCTCAAACTAACTTATTCAGAATTCAAGAGAAGAAAAGGGACTGTGTATATTAGTCTAATACAAGATTCATGTCAATTTGAAGGAACACCTGTCTCCTTTCAAGTGTAGTTGTTCTATATTGTCCGTAGTAGCGACCATGTGCACCAAAACTAGCACAGAATTGGCTTGAGAAGAAAAACAGAGTGGTACAGATGGTACACAAAGTGTCTTTAGTTTCAGGATTCTGGTACTACAAAGCGTACACATTTGTGTCAGTTTGAATGACATTGTCTCATTCTATCTTACTCTGATCCCACAATTTATAGAAGGTAGTCTGTGGGTATATATAAGAGCACATCATGGAAAACACGTCCTCTTTCTTCAAGTTATGTTCAGGTATCTGCAGCTAGTAACACTGTTCGTGTCTACCTCTTCAACATAAATATCTTGCTCCATTTTGTCTCCGTGGAATCCAGCCTTTCTGCTTTTCTGGATTGAGGTTGTCTTTTCTGAGCCTAAAACCTCAGAATTTCACATGGTGTCTATAATGGCACAAATACATTTCCAACCCTGGTAGAAGTATTACTCTCCAATACATGATGTTACACAACAGCTTGCAGACTTGTGAATCCTGTGATTAACTGTGGATCATCCTCATTACCAATTTGCTATTGAAACATGGCAGGATTTAGCAATCACTTTTGCTGCTTTGTGTCTGAGTACTTGTACGTGCCATGTTGCATTTGAAAACTCGAGGTTGTTCCTTTCTTGCTGGGCCATACTTCAGTTGTCTCTGTTGGTGATGTCTCCCAAGTTTTTGTCACAGGCAAATTTAATTAGTGTATTCCTGTCCCTTTAAAGATCATTATGCAAATATTCAGTAGGTTTTGTCCAGAGGCTGATATCCAGGGAGGGGCTTAACTGGTACTCTCCCTGCACATCAGAACTTCTTCTTTTAATGTAACCTGATGCAATTTCTGCTTTGCTGAGTTCCTTATGCACGTTTCCACTTTTGTCCTAATTGTTGTATTTTCAAATTTTAACTCAGAGTTACCTAGTAGTGTTAATTTCACTTGCTTGGATCCAGTAGGATTTTTCTCTAGAAAATCCTATTTCATAATAAATCAGGTTGGGTTTAAATAAGATACCATGGGTAAATTGAATTATCTTTTATTTCCAAGTGTATTTTGAGGCTGTGCAGATTGCCAAAACCGGAAACCTCTGTTTTCACTAATTTTAATCTTTCTTGTAGGTGTTTTGCTTTGTCAATCATATTTGAATCTGTCTGTAATCTCCTGTGAAATATTTCTTTTTTTTTGAAGTATTCTCTATATGCCTCATTTTTTCCCATCCTCTTTTCATTTCTGTGGCTGAAGCAGTTTTGTTTGCCACCACAATCTTCTTTGATTTTGTTGGTTTTCATTTGCAAGATTTAACTTCAACCTATTGCAGTACTTATATTCTAACCTCCAAATTGTAGCTTACTTTCGTGATTAATCTTGTTCATTTCCTGCAAGTAATTTCCTGGTTTTTGAAGTGATTATTCATTCAGTTAGACTTGAAGTATTTCTTTAAAGTTTTGGGTTGGGCTTTTTTTCCTGTGCTGATGATGTAAATTTCAGATATGTGTTCTTCATATTTTACTTTAAGGATGTGTGTTGCCTATCTTTGACTGTAATACTGACCTTAAAAGTTGAAGCCAACCTTACCTTTAGTCAGATCTATTTAAGTGTGTGGCTGGACTTGAGTGCAGTAGAGAAGAAAATTGAGGCTTGAGTATGTGTGATTTGAACAGTGGTGTGACCAGCCCTGGCTGCTTATATGGCACCAGCTGTATTACTCACCTCTGGAGATGCCTTGTGCTCTTTCCTAGAAGGGCTTCTCAGAGAATGCTGTATAAGAGGGTGTGAGAGTCAGTGGTGTGTGCCTCCAAAAATGGGTTATGGAGCACCCACTGAAGTAGCCTTTTCCCAGAGATATGCTCTGTCAGGGAAAATAATTTGTCAAATATTCCAAATTATCTTCATAGCCATATTCCTGAGTCCATTTGACCACAGTAAATTGTTAAGTAGGTTTTCAAAGCCTGCTATATTTTAAACATATTATATATATACATATATATATATATATAAAGCATATAATATTACATATTATATATTGATTTGATAATCTTTATTGATAATCTCTAATTAAAGAGAATCAATTCGTCACACGACCATTTAAAATACTTATTTCTCAAGTGTTTGAAATAAACTGTGATCAGTTGAATCTGAAGTACTTGAACATTCTCATTAGTAAAGCATTTGTTCTTTAATCTGTATTTGGGTGGTTAGGCCCCTGTGACGCCATGCCTGCAAGAACTATTTACATTTGTGGTAACATCACAGCGCTCATTGTTCCTTTGCAGACCTTCTATGGGACTTCTATCTAATCTCTTCAGTGGCTGTTCCACAACAAAGGGATGTGTGATGTAAATCACTGTGTATGCTCCCATCCCTGTCACACCATTTCAGCACAGTCATATTTCTTGTTCCAGCTCTTGTGTGTCTTTCATTTATTATTTAGTCTCCATGTATATGAGTGTCCAATGTCTGTGTCCATGTATTATGACTGCCAATACTTCAGATTACTTAAGCTTCTTGGCATTCATTATTATACAGATTTCATATTGAGTCCCTTGGACAGATTTGCCACAGTCTTTTTATTGGATTAATTCCTCTGTGTCTGCTGGTTTTATCCACATGATTACCATCTCTTTCCCTTGCTTACATTCCTTTAGCCATAGCTATATCCCATACTTCCTTATTTTATACCTTATATAATTTTCTCCCATCATTTTTCTCCTATGCCTTCATTAACGAAAAAATTTCAGCCATGCTGACCTCAGTCCCAGTTTATCTCCTAAATTAAGCTCAGATACTTGGGTTTGCTTTTGCTTTGTGTTTAGAGCCCTAGGGAAGAATGTGCATGTGCAGACTGAGGTGATTGTGTATGAAAGTGTAACCAGATGACTTAAACATGCCTGCCCACTCCACTTGGTGTCTGACTCCTACCCTTCAAGTCTATGATCCCCCTTCAGTGCATGGTCTCTCTTGGATTTCATAGTCTTGTTGGATTCACAGGTGCAATTAGGAGTGTGGTAGGGTTCTCTTATACCATCACCTACTTACAGCTGGATATCTGTTAGAGAGTCTTCGTCAACTGGGGGGGCTCTTGTCAAAGAAGTTTAATTGCAGGGAAAAGAAAGGATCCCTTTGGAAACTCTGCTGGAGGATAAATAATAACTAATGATTCTCTCTGGCTGTCTGTTGCAGGTAGGGCTGTTTGCAGCATGATGTGAACCATTGCAGATGAAAATAAATGTTACTGCATTTCATCTGCAATAAAATAATTGTGTTTAGAACTCCTTCAGACACTCAATGCATTCAGACTTGGCCTTTAGTAGTTTACCAGCTTTGAACAAAATGCAGCACAGTGACCAAGAGCATGCAGGAAGTGCATGTTGGTTTATGTTTATGCATTAACAGATACCAAGGCTTGTGTTTGTTTAAGTCATGACTCTGGAATTAATGGCCTCCTCAGGACTAAGGTACACAGTAAGAGAAACTCTTAATACATCACCTCACAATGAAATACTTCTCTCGCAAGTTTCTGACCCCCACATTTACCGAGGAAGTTTTCTGCTCTTATCCACTGGGATGAAGACTCCATCTAAAGGAAGGTGGGAGAAGTGGTCCTGTTTCCCCAGCTTGCCTTCCCTGAGTTTTCCAGACTGGTTTGCCTTATGGCCTGGAAGGCATGTAGGACAGGGGAGTATGGGGGAGAGCCAAATGGTTTTCTGTCTGAGAGCAAGGGAGTGAGCCTGCCAGTCATACCTGGACCGATATACCCCTCCTTCACAAGAATAACCCTTCCTTTCCTGTGTTTTGAAATAGATATCAAGACAACGGCTGTGAGAAAGGGTGATGAATATATCATAAATGGAGGTAAGATGTGGATTACGTCCGGGAGCCAGGCAGACTGGATGTGCCTCCTGGCAAACACCAGCGAAGGACCTCCCCATCAAAATAAATCTCTCATATGTCTGCCAATGAATCTACCTGGTAATAAATCAAAACTCTTTGTCTTCTTATTTGATTTTATCGGTATTCTTTATATGCCTAATACAAGAAGGAAAGGTGTTTAACCAAAAATATATTTAGAGAAGTTGTTCAGATACATTTTCATGGCAATGATTCATAACCATATGAAAGTAAAAGGATAGAGAGTTTAGAGATGAGATTTCAAACTTGGGAAATACCTCTCAAGCCCGGTGGGCTTGCTGAAGAGAATTGCAAGCATATTCAGGGTGTTTCATGGCTGTGCTGTGCAAAGGGATCCTTTCACCAGGGTGCTATTACCAGTTAAATTATAAAAATAGTCTAAGAGTTAAATGTGGGCTGGAATGAAAGATTCAAATATCCTGGAAGTAGGGACTTGGTTTTGAATAAGACTAGCAATTCAGGTGGAGACATGGAAGAAATACTTCCTGAGCTAAGGCTACCAGTTTCCGTGGTACATCCACTCAGTGTCTGTTCCAGAGTGCTCTGCAGACCTTGCAGAATGCACCAGTGCTATGTGCATGAAGAACATCATCCAGAGAGGATGCAGTTAAGATTGCACTCATGGGGATCTTTTGCAGTTTTGACACCTGTCCAAAAGTTTTTAAATCTTTTCAGTTCTGACTCATTTTTATATTTAAAAATATTCAACATATTAATTTAGGTTAATATACTATATAATATATAGTATATTTGGTGCTTAATTTTTAAAATTAATGTTTATTTTATGCGAGAAAACAGTTTAATGCAATTTAATAGTTATTAAATCTAGGATATTGTATATGAATGTATTTATATATAAGATATTTATACTCAAGGCCCTTTTGTTCATTCAATTCAGAGTATTTTACACACAAAGTATGTGCCATTATTGGCATTTCACATGTAGGAACACCACCACAGCAGTGAAGGCAATGTCTCTATGTTCACTTAGTGGATTAGACTGAGAACAAAACCCAGGTCTCCAGTGTTGCAGAAGAGGATGATGAGAGCTTCTTAAGGGAATGTCTTTTAAGTGAATTTAAGCATGGAGTAAGTCAAGCAAGTGAGTTGCCTTGGGAATCAAGCAGGTTCTGAGTGAACTGTGAGCTTCTGCTACCTCTGCTCATGCAAGACAGGCTTTGAATGGGAGTTTGTGAAAGACAGACCTGAGCTGCTTCACTAGTTGTGAACTTCATCCTTATTGAGAAGTGATGAGCAAACATGTAACTTGCATCCAGAATTGCTCTGAATTTCCAGGTAAATTCACTTATCAGCCATGTGATGATAAATGAATGAAGTCCTTGTGATTTTTCATGGAAGGGTCAGAATGCAAATGCAATACTTCTTCTCTGAGATCAATCTTCCTAAAACAACAAAGCAGCTGACCCACAGTTGGTGGCAGATAAAATACATAGAAATTGACTTAGAGGTTTTCAGCTATTGGCTCATTCCAAAAAGGCACAAGTTGTCTAGAGGAGGGGAGATGTTAGATCTCACAGCCTACACACAGACCTTCTTTACCAGCATTAAATAGATTTAGAGTAGAAAAATTGTCTGAGACACCTTATTCTGATCTGCAGAAGTGTAGAATTCTTCCTAGGAACAAAATTTGTGCTCCTCAAAATGCATATGTTTTAATTCTTCTGTGATGATACACATATTTATCTCCAAAGGGGTCACAGTACCAAGATTGGTGACCTTTTGAAATGAGGTATTAAGACTGTTGATTGTGCTCTGTGGGTGAGTCATATCAGAAGTGAGATTTTTCAGGAAGCTCCATCTGGTTTGATACATCCTAAGGATGTCTGTCTGCTAAAGATTGTTCTCCATGGAGGGCAGCAGACCAAGGCTGTACGGGAAGTGTCTGGAGGACATCACAGAATGATGCACCCTCAAACGTCTGTGGATGTATGTGTGTCAAAGCTCAAAAACAACTGCAATAGGGAGCAAATGTGTTATATCTGACTCACCTCTGCAAGCACCAGCCTGTATGGCTGGGTAAGGAAGGATCTGTGGTGTATTTTTGCTAAAAATCTAAGTTGTTTTGTATTTATATTGTGTGGTGGGGGAAAAAAAAGAGAGAAGAAAATTCCAAGTCTGAAAATGAATTATTAATTTCAACAATAGATAGTTTATTGGATAGACAAAGTAGGATTTGCTTCTTTAATTTTAGGTATATATACTCTCTAATCTGGGCTGAAGCAAATCATGGTCTAGATTTGACAGACACTGCTGAATACATTTCTCATAAAGGAAGTTTGGATAACTGCACAATGGATCCCCAGTAAATATCCAAATTTGGTGAATACTCCTCATACAATAACAATGTCTTTAAAATGCAGCTGAATGTTTAATATAATGAAAGGGAATCTAGCAAGTTGCAAAATGTCTGTGTATGAGGTATATAGACAAATGGCTTGCAGCTCTGATATAGCAACTGTTTTGTCCTCTGGTTTGTCCTCTGAGTCCTCAGATAGCTCTAGGGGAGATTGCAAGGAGGAGTTAATAAGGAGAAGAGCAACCATGAAAAGAGAAAGAGTGTGTTTCTTGGATTGCAATTTAAAATGTCTGTTTCCATTTGTAATGGCACTAAATGGTGTCAGGAGAGAGCAACTGCCTTTTTCTCAAAACAGAATACAGGAAATAAAAGAGATTGTCAGAAGGCTGGAGGAATGGTAGAAAATGAAAAATCAAAGACACTTGGGAAGATCTGCCCAGGGAGAGAAATAGCAATCCATCTCAATGATACTGGTGCAAGTAGCTCAAATGGCTCTGTTACAGTGATTTTAGTAAGACGGGTGCTTGGCCTTGTTAAATTCAGATTTGTGAGTTATTGTGTGTAATTTGTTTAATGCAGACAAACACCAGGAGTTATCTGGGCCAGTAATTTCTGCTGCTGGTGGTAATTTTTCATTTATAGCACTCCTTAGGAAGAGAAGGAAGATAATTACACGAAGGGAGATTTTGATGCCCCCATAGTGGCCAAAGAGATGATTATGTATGATTGTCTTCCACGATGTAAAGCATGTGCTAGCCTCAGAAGGGGCATCCCATGAGATTGATGCAGCTTGGTCTCCTTGTGGGTGAGAGCCATGAATTAAGAGCAAGTGAAACTGGTAGGGCATGATAAAGGGAGATGCTGCTGGACCTATGAATATTGAATGACAACCCAATCTGGAAGAATTACAGGTAGAAATCAGCAGCATATTTAGTTCACTAACCAAGCCTGTAAGAGCTTTCTTCAATAGTTGTGGCCAAAGAGATGATTATGTATGATTGTCTTCCACGATGTAAAGCATGTGCTAGCCTCAGAAGGGGCATCCCATGAGATTGATGCAGCTTGGTCTCCTTGTGGGTGAGAGCCATGAATTAAGAGCAAGTGAAACTGGTAGGGCATGATAAAGGGAGATGCTGCTGGACCTATGAATATTGAATGACAACCCAATCTGGAAGAATTACAGGTAGAAATCAGCAGCATATTTAGTTCACTAACCAAGCCTGTAAGAGCTTTCTTCAGTAGTTGTTGTATGTGGATCTGGGAAGTAAACAGCAGGATTGATTTAGCAATATAATAATGAACTGGCAGCAGTTGTGCTTTCTTGAGAAGAGTCCTTTTAAACCACCCACTAACAAGAGCAGTAAGTGCATCTTCATATGGAGGAGGAGCAGTGATTACATAAAGCCAGTTGGCTTTAGACCATACATGATCTCTGCAACTCTCAAAGAAACCAAATAGCAGTATTCCAATGGGAAACAATGTTCCAGATTTCATTTGGGCTTCTAAAGTGCTCAGTGTGTGGTTATTTAGCTCTGTTTTTAATATGGAAACAAACCACAAATGATTTTTTGGCTGACTGAGTACAAATTGCTGGATAATTTTCAATTCAAAAGTCAAGAATTTTCATACAGCTGTCCTGATTTTACCGCTGCATTGATCATATATCAAAGCAAGTATTTTTTATACAAGCTGTTTACAGCTCAGTTGGTGGAGAAAAAATCTTGAGTGGAACTTGTGGAAGTCCATGAACGTTGTTCTCAGAGAAGTCTTGGCATTTGTAAATAATGTCAGTATTTTATCTCTGTGAAGAGATGAAAATTTCCATAACCTTATTTAGTGCAGCCAGAGAGAGTAAATTTGAAGGAAATGACTGCCAACTTCGTCTGCCTACAAAACCAAAGTAATTTTCATATGTCTGAAGGCCTCCTGTGAGTAAAGGGTGAGATGTCTGTATTAGTTCAGAAAGAGATGTTTTCAGAAAGCTGTGATGAATAGCAAGATGTGAACAAGGACAGAGGAACCAGAACAATCTGTGTGGTGACCAACCAGATTCTACTGAGCCATGCCAGAGAGCAGTGGAGGATTGAAAAAGAATAAAGAGGAAAATAAGAACAGAATACCTTCTCATCACAAAGCTGGTTGGAATAACATGGACATGAGTAGTAAAAAGCTTTGGTTTTCTGGCAAAGATACATATGCTGAGTTGGAGGACTTTTTCTGTGTGTTTTGCTACACATACAGACTCGTCAGATGTAATTAACGTGTTATGCACAAATCCTTATGCCTGGTTGCTGTCCTCCTTTTGCTTTTGAAACATTCTTGACTTTCACCCTGAATATTTGAATTAGCTCCAGATCAACAGGGAGATAAAACCTGAAGACAAGAGAAATGCCTTGGGAAAACAGTAGGTGCCTGTTAAACTCTCATTGCACAGGGATAAGCCATGCTTGCATCTGAACAACAGCAGGGAAGAACTTGTAGCTATGAAAAAACAAACCATGGGAAGGAGTCCTGCCCAGGGTGACGAGGTAGCTGAACCCTCATGTGGCCAGACCTGAATGAAAGAGGCTCATCTTCAACAGACCAGCGCACATGGGGTCAGAGTCAGTGCTGTGTAGAGAGGTCTGTGGGGAAGCAAACCCTCCTCACAAACATATACACAATGAAAATTGAGAGTGATCACTGCACCAGAAAAAATCAGCATAGGCTAGGAATGGGAGGATAAATGAAGAAGAGAGGGAAGGAAGAGGATTTCCAGGAGGAGAAATACTCTTAGCTGCAGCTTAAAATGTAGCTCTGTTTTTGTCCTTACTGAATATTTGTGTACTGTTTCACAGCAGTGCAGGCACTTGGCAAATACTGCCAAATTGAATTTCAGCATTTTATTCTAACACTAGATAAAAATCAAACATAAACAAATAAATATTGCATTGTTTGAAGATCTGTGTGGAGTATTATAACTAGTAAATATTTATTATTTGGGGATATAATAAAAAGTGGGAATTTTACATTAAAAATTTCTTATTTGCTGGTTTAGTAAAGTGGAAATATCTTTTATAATAGGATTTTTACTCCAGAATACTGTTATGTTTTTCTTCAAGGTTGCACTGTTGTCTTGGAACATACATTCACATCTGCAGACTTTTCTTTCTGAAAACAGTGTATTTGTTCGTAGTGCTTCTATTTTTTGTGGTCTTTCTCATACGCCTTTCTCTTCAGGCATTCATATTGCTAAAAAGATAGACAAACTGGGTATGAGGTCATCGGACACAGCTCAGATCTTCTTTGAAGACGTAAGGGTCCCCTGCAAGAACCTCATCGGTGAGGAAGGAAAGGGTTTCATGTACCAGATGTTGCAATTCCAAGAAGAGCGGCTGTGGGGAGTAGCCAGTGGTAAGTCATCGTTCGTGCTTCTGCAGCCGGGCAAGGACACAGGGGTCACTCTTCGCATGACTAACAGCACTTTTCTCTTCTTGTAAGTTGTGATGACCTTTTAGGATCTGTTTTTGAAATCCGTCATAGCCTGGATACAGACGACATTCCCTTTCTGTAGAAAAATTCCTTTTTCTTACAAAAACCCAAAGCCGAAAATATTTTGTGAGCCATTGCAGAGGGTCTTTCTTGCCTTGTTTCTTTTTCTTGTTCCTACTCTGCTGATAAGAAAATATGGCATCATGTTATGTCTATTACAAATGTAGTGCAAAGGCTATCAAAATATCAGCATGAAATAGGACGGTGACTTTTCCTGTAGTTTCCTGTGTATTATGATGCTGACCACGGATTTTAGAAAATTATATTATTGGCTGTGTAAAGTTAAGTGGCTCTTGCAGGATGTCAGAGCTTTGTTTTGCAAATGTGTTTTACCTCTGTACACTTTGGACATAAGTTGTACATTCCTTTCCCTGAAGTTATATTGTTACAGAGTTTATGTTACTCAGAGCTCAGGCTGTACTCAAATCTATGTATTTGGGTTATATGAATTCTGGATATTCCAGGAAACGAGATCCAAGTCTGGATTGTCTGCTTTCAGCCTGCAAACTTTCTCGCTACCCCTCAGTGTTTGCTTCTTCAAGTTAAATATAATGTGGTTCACTGTAAGAAAATTGGTCCTCTTTAGATTCCAGGGTTGTCTAAATAATGTCACTGCATTCATGCTCCTGTGCATTCCCTGTCTGTCACTGTCTGTGTGTGGCTGGGGGATTGAGCATTCTTAGAAGTGGTGTTTTGATTCAGTGAACAAATAAAAAAAGCACTCACTGTTTTGGGTTCATCACAGACCAAATATTTTGGAGTTCAAATGCCTTTGAAAAAATCGTTTATTGAGACAAAGTTCTTAGTTCAGCCTGAGATAAATAGTACATGTGAGAGTAGTTTTAGCAAAGGACAGGAGGTTACACTTGCTGAGGATGTCACCGCAGACTCAGGCAAGCAGGAGTTGTGATCCTACCACTGCTTCTGCTTTAACTGAGGTGTAGACAGACTGCAAGGATGTGCATTGTGCATTTTTATGCTCAGTTTGAAGTCTAAATTAAACAAACCATAAGAAGCTCTGGGCTGCAGTAGACTCCCTAGACAGCAGAGTAGCCGGCAGCATTAGTCATGCCCCAGGCAAAGTGACGCGCACTGACAGCATCAGCACACAAAGCCTGGCAGGTTAGATCACTCCTGTTAAACCACGGGCAGCTTGGTACTGTCCAGTCTTGCACAACTGCCTGGCTGTCACTGTGCTCTGCCAGGAACTGGAACACCAGGTTTCAATTCCTTTTTTTCTCCAAAAAAAAATGCAGCAGGAGCAGGTGAACCCTTGCCCTGGATGAGCAGCCTGGGAAGGGCATCTCTCCTTGTCTGCTACAGCCGGGCAGGGGCCAGCAGGGAGGAAGAGTCCAGGAGCTCACCAAGGAGAGGGAGCTGCCTTCTGCAGTGGCTGCTGTATAAACCTTGCTGGACCCCTTGGGTTTGCTTTTTTTCAACTATCTGATATAAAATGCATTAAAGCACTGCCAGCAGGGACAAGACCCGTGGTTTGGGCCAAGCTGCAAACTTCACCAATTGTGGTAAACAAGAACAAGAGTAACCAGTGTTCAGAAGGCAGCCCAGTACTCGATGGGTGCAGTTTGTTGTATCACAGCCTCTAGAGGTGTTATCTTCCAGTCCTGCAAATAGTTTCACATACATTCAACCATGACTGCTCAGGTGAAGGCTCAGATGTGCAAAACTATGTGAGTGCCTTCAGGAGTTTTGTGATTAGGTCTGCGTGTTTAATCCTGGTCTTCACTTCTGCCTCTCAGTAGGACATTTCTGTTCCTTCCCAGTTCATGACTGTGACATTGAAAATCATCAGTCTGCTTTTAAATGCTTTAGGCACCAGTCCTGGGATCCTCACTTTCACTGCTTCCTTTAACTTAGAAAATTCAGTTGACTTTTCTGTTTGTCCTTTTTGGGTGTTACTTTGTTATGTTTGGGTTTTTTTGTTCTGTTTCTCTTTGTTTTGTGGGGGAGTTTATGTATTTTTAGTTTCAAGTATCACATGCTCTAGACTTCTTTTGTTCATTAATTATCTTTTTTGTGGCCAGTATCTTTCTTCACTTGTTTGGTTTTTTGGTTTTTTTTTCTTTTAAAATCTGTTTTCAGTCAAACAGGTTTAAAATACAAATGGAAAACTAACTTCCTGGAATTGCAAAATTTGGTCCCAGGTGTGGTCTCTTCTTTTGAGTGACATATCATCAAAGATATTGGTCAAAGTCACTGTGTTTCTTGCTTCATTGAAAGAAAAAAGATGCCACGTGTGTCCTGTGTTGTGACACTTGGTAAACACTGTCTGTTTGAGGACCTGTTGCACTGATCACAGGAAAAGAATGTTGCTATGGCAAAAAAAGCAAACAGTTGTCTTGTGAATTGCTTAACTGAGAGACAAAGAGGGAGTTCAGTGTGCATGTGAGAGCAGAATGGCACTTTTCTAATAAATTCTATTTGCTCCTGCAACTTCAGTTTTATGAGCACCATTGAGTCATGGCCAGTAAGCAGGATGACAGATCCTTTTGCATAGGCAACACACGTCCTTAAGAATCAGATTGCTCAGCTTAGAGCTCACTGTACATTTCATTAGAGAGTGATCATTCACAACCTAGGAAAAACATTAATTTCCTTTTCTTTTGAGAGGAAAGGCAGCAACTAGACAAAGTGTCTTTACAGTGAGCAGAAATTTCAAGTGTAATAATATAAGTTGGATGGAGTTACGAGGAAACTCCGTAAGTTGGATGGAGTTGCTGAATTTGGCAGCTTCAAGTGCTTTCACAATTCTCAGCTGTGCAGTAGTCCATACATTCCTTAGGCTGCTTTAGAGTGACATTTCCTGCATGTGCTGTCAGTTGAATCCCATGGGGCTAAGTTTGTCTGAGGATGTGGGGAACATTGTGTAGGAAAAGGAAACAAATACACAGAAAAAGAGGGGCGTTCCCTATTATGAATGGCATTTCTCTGAATTCCTATGACTGGGAAAGTGCTGTCTGCTGTTATCTTGTTGAACATGGCTGGTGGCTGTCATGGTATTCGTGATGTGCTGCATTTTGGTGCTGTTTGCTACACAGCCAGGCTTTGCCATGTTAGAGCTGTGCTCAGAGCTCTGAGCACCTGTCATCAGCATCACAGAATGGTTTTTAAAGTTCATCACGTCCAACCCCTCCACCATGAGCAGGGACACCTTTCACTAAACCAGGTTGCTCAATGCCCATCCATCCTGGCCTTGAACATATCCAGGGAATGGATGTGTCTTGGGGCACCCACAACTTCTCTGGACAACATGTTCCAGTGTCTCACCACTCTCATAAGGAATTTCTTAGAATTGTAAAATGATAGAATAGTTTGGGTTGGAAGAGACCCTGAAGATCATGTAGTTCCATTTCCTTTTGTTCAATCTAAATCTACATTTTTTAAAATTTGAAACCAGTCCCCCTTGTACTGATACTACAGGGTCCAGTAAAAACTCTGTCTCCATCTTTCTTATAAGCTCCCTTTATATATCAAAAGGCTGCAATAAGGTCTCCCCAGAGCCTGCACTGCTCCAAGCTGAACAACCCCAACACTCTTAGCCTGTCCTCATAAGAGAGGTGCTCCAGCCCTTTAATCTTCTTCAGGACCCTCCTCTGGACGTGCTGCAACAGGTCAATGGCTGTTTTGTATTGCGGGCTCCAGAGCTGGATGCAGTACTCCAGATGGGGTCTCTGGAGAACAGAGTAGAGGGAGAGAATCATGACCCTTGACCTGATGGCCTCTTTTGAAGCAGCCCAGGACAGTCCTTAGATTTCCTCTGTTTGTTTCTGTGTGCAAATGACAGTTCCTGAAATAAGAAGAGCAGCAAAGGAAACAGAAGGCTGAATCAGCAGGGGCAGGAAGGAGGCGGTGAATTGGAAAAGTGGACACTATAAGAGCAGTTTTCCCAGATCCCCAGTCTGAGCCATGTGTGGTGACAGCCTGACCAGAGTTTGGCCAAAGTCCCTTCACGATCTTTAGACCTTTTGCAAGCAGGACCTGAACAGTTTCTGTCCTGTTTCTTCCCAGCTGATCTTGCTCCTGCCTCCTCTTTGCTGTTTCCCATCCCCTCTTTCCCTGGTGCTGGATGCTGGGAACCACACAAGCTGTGCTGGAGCACCTTGCACTGACAGACCAACACAAGATGAATCCCTTGTCTTTATCCCTTCCACCTCCCTTCTGCTCTCCTAGCACTGGCAGGTACTGTTTAGTTTCCCACCCAGCAGCTCAGACTGCGCTGTATTCTTCCCAGATTTCAGTAAGAGGGAAAGGCACAAGTGGTGTCTGGATATTCCTTCCTGTTTCCTTACATTTCTCAAGCTGGAGACCATAGACATAGAAGTAAAAAAGCTGTTGGTGTTATACATGCTACAGTGTTTTGTGATATTGTCCTTTGGAAGGACAGTATTTCTATTCCACAGATGTTCCTGAAAACAGAAATTTATTTTCCTGTCCAGAAAGCCAGCATTTGGGTGACAACATAGTGTGTTAACACAGAAGAAATTAGGACATTCCTGTATATGCTTTTCTGAAAAAAATAAGCATTGAGGTTAGTTGTATGAGAAAGGAAGGGGAAATATTTAGGCAAGGAGAAAAGCTGATGACCCTATGGAGTGTGGAGACATTATGTGAAAAATGGTGCTCTGTGGAAGTGATGGTGAATGATCATGGCAGGGGGAATTGGTGGCATGCAGAGTCTACACAGGACAGGAGTTCAGAGATGAAATTTAAATAACAGTGATCTTGAAAACAAAGAAAAAGGGACGTGGAACCACATCAGGCTCCTGCAAGGGACTATCATGTGAGTAACTGGCAGGTAGGAAAAGGGATTTCATAGTAGTCCAAGGCTTAGGTTTATTTTGCATTTCACGTTCAGAGTTTTGTGGTTTAGACTTTAAATGCAAATGGATGTGGATATGCATATTTTGAAAAAGAAAATGTGACTCTTCTCATACAGATAGATTTGTGAAATCATGCCCTGCTGCTTGTCATAGTAACAAGTCCATATTTGCCAAACAAAATTCTCCATGCATTCTGTATCCGCTGTTATCCCAGCTACACTGCAAGAGACTGATAGCTTAGTCATTCACTTCAAGGCTGGTTTGCCTTGGAAGAGAAACTTTTCCCTTTTTTCTTATTTAAAATGAGATATGTCTCAGTTTGCACAAAAAGCAGCAGCAAACTAGCTCTGCTTTTAAAGCATCGTATGCTGCCTCTCTCACCTGTTTTACAGCAGTACCCTTTTTTCATTCTGTTTTCCATTAGGAGAATTATTTAATTTTTTTTTAAAGTGGGTGTGATTTTTTTTTTCTTCTCTGTGCTGGGATCACAGAACACAGACATAATAAGCAAACTATTTGTGTTCCTTGATCTCAGAATAGGTTTCTGTCTTCTCCCTGAAGGCTTCCTTCAATTTACATTTCTACAGCCTTCCTCACCAAGCACACTACACTGCCTGCCTTCAGATTTTTTTTCCAGGATTTTAACAAACCGTCAGGACACAGGTAGCATGGAAAGTAGGAGTTGCCACAAGCTTTTGCTAACGCCCGAAATGAGACACTAAGCATAAAGTTTACCTCATCATGTTGGTACTGCTTTTTATGACTCTCCCTCTTTCCTGCCCACTTCTCTTCCCTCTCTTCCAGGTTTTGGCAGTTAAGGCTCAAGTGAGATAGATGTCTTCAAGGTACAAGGAAGTACCAGACTCTTCTCAGAATTGAAGCTGCATCCCAAACTAGGTGTACAGAACAATTTCCTTTATAAAACTAATGTGTTTGTTGTACAATGTGAAGAAATCCTTCTCTTTCAACAAGAAGCTAAACAGATCTGGCTAAAATGATGTTGTGTTCTGTGCTTTGTTTCTTCCAGCCCTGACACCAATGGAAAAAATTATACAAGAAACTATTGACTACACACGGCAGCGGAAGGTGTTTGGCCAGCCTGTCCTGCACAACCAAACCGTGCACTTCCGCCTGGCCGAGCTGGCAACCGAAGTGGAGCTCCTGCGCTCGCTGCTGCACCGCGCCGTGGGTGAGCTCCCTCATCGGCTTCCCAAAGAGCTTTGTCAGGCGGTCAGGCTAAAGGAACATGGGGAGGTGACTTCCAAAGTGACTGCTTTTTTATCTCTTCTTTTTTTATTAGCTCTCTATATAGAAGGCAACGATGTGACAAAATTTGCTTCCATGGCTAAGCTAAAGGCAGGTCGTCTGACCCGTGAAGTGACTGATAGCTGTCTCCAGTTTTGGGGAGGAATGGGATTCACCAGTGAAGTTCTCGTGAGCAGGCTTTACAGGTAAGGGAGTGATGAAAATACAAAGTGGCTTTAACTGAAATTTAGCCTCTTAAATGTCCTGTTAAACAATCATCTACTTGTAAAGAGCTCCAGCTTCTCACCAGTGTGAATGGTCTTGTTCCGCTTCATAGCATGTAACTGAAGTGGGTTGTGAATGAAAGGACACCCAGTGCAATTAACTTTGGGTAGACATGTGTTGGAACTTACTACTCTTTTGCCAAATCTTGGCTTTGCATTACAGTTCTGAAGTTTGAACTGCCCACAGGTTAGCTTAAGTGTCAAATGAAAGAGGAAAACTCAGTATTTTCCGTGATGGTCCTCTGGTATCTGCCACAGAGTAGAAAAAAGGGAGGGAATATTGAGAGCTACCAACCAGTGACTTTTTTCTCTTTGCTTTTTGTTTGCTTGTAATCTTGAGTACAAGAACAGAAATAAAACCAGAAGCTTTCTTCTAAAATGAATGAAAATCAACTTTACCTTTTCCCCAGACTTGTGACACTGGAGTTCCCCACTGGGCTTCTGCAGTAGTCTGTTCTGATAGCAGTCTCCACCCTTTTGGTCATACTAGATACCATGTGAGACATACAAGAGATGTAATTGCTTCCAGAAAGTTGTTAGATCGTTAAAATGGTACAGAGGCCTTTTTGCAAATTAATTGAAGTCCCTTCAAATTTTAGTCTCTATCTACTTAGAGCAAAGTTCTCCTTAAGGAAACAGTTTTCCTGGTATCTGGCCTCAGCATCTTACATTCTGTGGAAGGACCAAAATTGACCTTGTATTCTCTTGCAGTAACACCTTTCTGTTCAGCCCTTACATAGTCAATATCTAACCCAAAGTCAGCCAAATCAGAGGTTCAGTTAGTTGAAAGTTTTGGTAAATGAGTCTGTGTAAAGTGAGAGCAGAACACTTGAGAAAATCTGCAAAAAGCATGTTTCTTCTTGGGTAGGCTAAGTTACTTTTTCCATTTTTAATAGCATTTTATGACCAATAATGCCGTTGCAGTAAGTCAAGAGATCCTCAATATTTTTGACAAGTGGACTCCTGAAATTTTCTTAAAAAGGTACAGACAGCTTTATGATGGTGGTTTTAAGTCAGCTGTCAATATGATGGTTTTCCTTAGGTTTTTTTTTTTCACAGCCTTATTTTAGCAAGTAATGGTCACTGGTGATAGAGATGTTAAGAGCTACAGTAGGCAATCTGAATAAAATTAATCCCTGTCTTTGCAGCACTTAGTGTAAATTATGTAGTCTGGACAGATTAACGTGTACGTGCTTTTACATAGTTTTGTTTAAGATTTCCTAGCCCAGTATAGCAGTGCTAACTGTGAGCAGGGCTTTTCTGTGTGGATTCCAGAGTGATTTCCAAGTATAACAGCACAGTCACATTTTTCCTTAGAAGAAATCCAGAGTGTTTCCTGTTGGCATACACAGTCAATTGGCTAAAGAAATGTATCTTTATACTTCTAAAACAAATACTGTTATAAATGAGAGTAAAGACAGTGTGATATTTATACTCTGAAATTTTCTATGAATCAGTAAAATTCCATCATTGAGTAACCAAAGGTCCAGGAGGAAAGGACAAGGAGAGTTTTACCTAAATAAACAATTACACGTTCAAGATAGAATCTTGTTAATCTGTAACAATAAGCAAAGCAGCAACTTCCCTAAAGCCCTTCTTTTTAGTACAGCAGTCTGAGTAACCATTCACGTCACTGTGATGTTTGTCCAGTAGCAGCAGTATAATTGCACAGCAGGACATCTAGTCCTCATGTTCAAACATTTTTGTAGCATAATCTTTATGAAGTTCCCACAGAGATGCAGGTTAGTCTTCGACACACCAGGCTGTTACTCACTCCTCAAAGAACATACAGCACAATGCATAGTTAGTGCATGAAGTCTCTGAATTTTAGTTATTACAGTCAGTTAGAGATCATAAACAGAAACAGCACAAAACTGCCAACTTATTTTACTCATATCTGTCATTTAATCAGTTACATTTTAAACTTTGTAGAACAACTGGCATTCCTTAATTCCTGTTCTGTAGAAAGCATGAAGAGAGCTGCTTCACCATGTAGGTGTCTATACTGGGTTGATTTTATATATATAAATGTCTCACTTGTACAGATTCTAATAAAAAGAATAGGTTTAAAAAAAAAAAAGAAGAAGAAGAAGAAGCTTAGAGCCCAAATACCAAAAGGTTTCACAGAAAAATGCAAGCCATATAAAACCCATAAAGCATAAAGAATAGACTTTCCAAACTGTACCCTAATAGTAGGATTCTGGAGAAGGAAGCACTAGCCTGGAGTCATGCTTATTTTTATGTCCTCTGTCTAGAAGGCCTTAAAGACATCGTGACTTAGCAAAAATCTATTACTGAAGAGGCCCATCATCTATATGAAAAACCCAGGTTATGAGAGATACATGAAAGAAACCTTTTAGTATCAAGTTTATTGCAATTTTTCAGATTTCCTGTGTTTTAAAGATTTTCAGGTTGTGATCCATCTATTTTAATAGTAATTATGTGCACTTCAATTGTTATAGGAAGTACTTATGCTGTCTTAAAAGAATTTAGTTTCTTGAGTTTATTTTTAATTAACATTGTTATTAAGCTAAATATCTTGTCTAACTGCTTCCAGTTCTTACAAGTTTTTCTCCTGTGGGCTGTGATGGGGAGAATGCTATCATTTCTTTACTTGCTACACTGAAAAAGACTCAAGAAAGCAGTAGTGAAAAATATTGACTATTCATGTGAAATAGAAGTGTAAGTAGCATTGCAAATGCATAGCTGCAGAAGAAACACATTTTCATTTTTCTCCTCAAATGTCATGTAGTTATTGCAATATGAATGTCTATTTGTGATTGAGGATAGTTAAAAAACAAACTTCTGTATAATTTTAAGGGATTTTTTTATAAGTAATGTATTTCCGTCTAGATTTTTTTTTCCTTCACATGTTTAAAAAGTTAGTTCAAATACTTCATTCAGCTTCACTTTTTATTTCATTGTTTATAGTCTTTCATTCTTTACAAAACATGTCTAAACTTGAGTGAGTCCACACAACTGGGGAGTTTAACCAGTTTATTTCCATATAGTACAGTTGTACCAAACAAAATGAAACTTATCCATTTCTGCTGACGAAGACAATTTGCTTTGAAGTCTGTAGCTAACTGCTGAGACAAGACTTAATACCAGTTCCTGTCATCTGTGGAACAAAATCTGTAGTTTCCACCTTTTTCTGCAAAGCCTTTGAGACAGATGCCTGTCTACCACTTTGACTTTTGTGAATACCTTGAGAAGGAGTTTAGGGGATGAAGCGCATGACATCCACCTTTAAGACAGCAAATCAAGGCAGGTAACAGTACAGTGATGACTTGAAAGTAGAGATATTCTCAACTCCCTGCTTTATGCTCAGAGCAGGCCAAGGTGATGCCCATTCCCTCATCTTGGCCTTCAGAATGTCCCTGAGGGGGAAGGAACAGGGTCATGGGAACTGGCAGGCACAGCTGTGGGTTTGACCAGGCTGTGCCAGCCTGGTCAGAGGCCTGCTGCACTGGGTGGCACCAGCTCAAACTCTTCTCTCTAGAACAAAGCCCCCTTCAGATTCTGCTTAATTTAGACAGCCTATAGGTAATCTAGCTGAGTCTGAATATGGAAGAAATTACAAAATGTTAGGCTTGAGGGTTCATCTTTTTTGGAGATAATTCTTGCCAGTAATAAAACCTTAAAATGGTTAAAACCTGAAATTGTGAGTCATGAGAAAAAAAGGGTGAAGGTTTTGTAATCAAGTGCAGTTTATGCTGAAAAGCAGCAGTGGATAGATAGCCAGGGAAGCAGTGATGCTCTGAGCCATGCAAACCTTGGTAAGGTTTTTACTAATGGCCTTCTAAACAGGGAAGCGGAGAGCAGCATTTCTGAGGGACTGCTGCCATCATGCTAGGCTATTAGGGGATACCAGGGCTTAAATCACAAAAACTCACTTTCTTCCCCCTGTCTGACTGGTATTGATCACTGCCAGAAAGGAGAAAAAAATTTCTTAGTTTATTTTGGCAGGAAATTTGAAGTTTCATGAAGACACCTGCATCACAGATGGTGCAGCAGGTTCCTCTCAGCTTGTTTGGGAAAAGAAAGTGCCTCAATCCAATTCCATATGGTTTTCCAGAGGAAAATGTAGTGTAGAGCAACTCCTAGAGCACACCCAGCTTCTCAGCTGTAGGTAATAAATGGTACTGGAAGACACAACTGCAAACACCATGACATTTTACCAGCTTGAAGCTACAGACAGATTTAGTGCCATGAGCTGCATATAGCACATTACAAGATCTAAAAGTTTGCTTGTGCTATGAATGAGTACATGTCCCTGCTTTATGGCTGGGAAAATCACTCAGACTGGGATAAGGCCCCCATTTTCAGGAAAACTGGGACCAAAAGTTGTAGAGGCAGGGTAATAGACATGGCTTAGCTTGTGCAAAACAAGGTCCAAACGTCCGTCAGAGTGCAGAGGGGTCAACACCAGCCAACAGAGGAATGTTAAACTGCAGACTATTTTGGATTACACTATTCAGAAACACATTTTTAGGCTGTAAATTACAGGGTTCCTAATCATTAGAAGAACTTTGTTATCTCATAACCTTCAAATTAGGGTAGTCCAAGATTAAAGGGAGCTTGTTTTTTCTCCTTCAAGCAGCGCTTGACACATTTCTGAAGGCTGTGTGACATGGCTTCTACAGAGATGGGAAACAGGATTTGACAATGTGGAGGGCTTCTTTTTTCCTGTTGCTACCTAACTAGGAGTTATTGCTTACCTGGATTGAGTTTGGTGGGTGGGAAGGGCTCCTCACCCTCTCTCCTAAGTGCATTTTTTTAACTTGACATTGAAGAATTTTTTGCTTTTATTCATTAAAATATGGATTAATTTTTACCATTTATATCTCTTGATTTGGTTGAGTGAAATCTTACAATCTACAGTAAGTATTTCAGACACATGGGATTTCCTGAATGTAAAGAAACTCTTTACAGGGAATATTTTAGAGGGATACAACACAATAGTTGGATTTCTCTCCTTCCTCAGGTTAACTCCCACTCTCTAAAGAAAACAGCATCCAGTGACATTCAACAAGTAGCTAGAGGTTTGGTCCCTCAAAAGCAGACCTTTACAAACTGCCTGGTGGGCTGCAGGCTGGCTCCTCATGGTCCTTGGTTAGGGGGAAGCCACCCCAGGTTGGTGCTCACCTCAGCAGGGCTGCAGGTAGTTCAGGATGTGCTGCTGTCATGTGGCAACAAAATGGTGATGCAGAAATCAAAAGCAAAATGTTATTGTGCCAGATCAAAAGCCTTTACAGCAGTAGCCTAACAACGTCCCTTACAAAAGCAATCGAATTCCAATATTTATATATATATATTCAAATATTTATGTGCTGTATTAATAATGCATTCTTGATATAAGATAAACTATCAAACCATAAGCATATATTAAATAACTGATATAGAAGCTGACTTCATTATGTGCTCTTTCCCAGCTTACTTACAGAGTTGCTGGCAGGATTGTTAATCCCTTGGTCTCATCTTCTTATGATGAAAGCAAGTTTGTTTCCCAGAAGAGGGCTGCTGGATTAAAATCATTTGTGTCTTTTGTCATCTTGATCCGCCTAAATTAGGGGAAAACCTTCTGTCTTGGCTCCCCAGAGGAGAGATCAGCATTAGTCACCTGGCTGTAGATTCTCTAAGAAATATTCCTTATCTCACCCAAGGAGACAAAAATATAATTATCAGCAAATTTGTAAAGATATACACAAGCACAAAACATACAAAAGGTGTTCTGGTTTTTTGAGATGTGTCTTTATATGTGACAGCCTGACTTGTCTGTCACACACCACCAAAGCCAGATCTTACCACTGCCTATTTATAATTTCATATAAACAAGCCCCATGTGTCCAGGATTCCTGCTGCAGAGAGGATTTCTATTGACATCACAGAGGAGTTCAGAAGATTAGTTACTTGCTGTTGCTACAGTGAAGATGCCAAATGCTGAGCAGTGGTCGGGGCTTTCTGCAGCTTGACAAAGCAGACAGCACCACAGCACTAAGAACAAGCAACCTACCACTGTTCCAGGTCTGCTGCCTTCAGTAAGGCCCATTCAGTTACTAAGTAGAGGTAGTTTGGAATTGTTATGGTAGTTTTATTGGTGGTGTTTTTTCCTTCACTGAAGTAAAATATTTGTGAGTAAAATTGCTTGAGGCTGCAGTAGTTAGCACTCTGGCTAGCACAGGGAACTTAGGCAATACTTGCTAGGGTTGACTTGGGATGGTTATGGCAGATTTTAAATGAGTGTGATTAGAAATATCAAAGAGTAAATATTCTTGAAGCAGTCATTAATACTTAAAGCACAGATGATCTATAGATCATCTATATAAAACTACACTAGAATACTATGCAGAACTACTTGTAGTATTATACTATGTAACATTAAGGTTCTATATAATACTAATAAGGCTTTTACCAGATCTTATATAGCCATTAGAAAAACCTGGATTGGTTAAAAACCTTGAATGGAAATTGTACCCTTTCTGTGCAATTCTCCAATACCTCAGGTACTGGTTGACTCTTTCACCACAGCTAAGGAAAGTTAAATGTTGCAATGCTTTTTGCTGCTGGCCCTGGAAAAGCTCCCTCCCCTCCTTAGGTGCTTAGGCACCTTCAGGTTTGGGACGAGCCCAGCAGGGGTGCTGTGGGAAGCGTCACAGACCACCTGCCCAGGAGCCAGTGGATGAGGTGTTCTGCAGGCATGTGGTGTTCATATGCAGTGTGTAAATAATTCTGGGCTAGCTGTCCAGCACAGCACCATCAGAACAGCATGCAAATGTTTAAATCTACCCTTTATATTTCTGCAGGGACTTTAGATTGATGTCAATAGGAGGTGGCACAGATGAAACCATGCTTTCCATCATATGCAAATACATGGACATACTTCCAAGACAGTGACGCATCTGCACTCTTCCTTGAAAAATAAGAAAGCAAGAGCATGACTTGTGCTGCACAATGAAGGTGACAAGCAGCCAGTACACTTCGAGCAGAAAACAGATCAGTAATTTTGCAATCAGAATGCACATCAATGTTTTTCACCATTACCACTCTGTGTTTTCCAGTGTCAAATTTTTGTTGATATGAAGCACTCTGAAACCTTGCATTCTGTTTTCTCAGTGGGTTACCTAAGTTTTCCAATGACCCATGCTAATCAGACAGAAAAAAAATATGTTCTTTAATCAAGCTTTATCTACACTTCAGAGCATCTATGCAGACAATTACGAATCAGAACCTCCATACAAATGGAAGCTATGTAGCTTAATCTCATTTCAGTATAGCTTTGCTTTCAAGATGAACAATCATGGCACAAATTATTCCTTGCCATAATGAAACCCCAGAACAGTGCCTTTCCTCTCAATTACAGGTACCTTCCCTATCTTTCACTTTTAGAAAGCAATCATTAAAATGAGCTCTGTCATCTTTGCCAAATCCATATCAATTTGTACTCCACTCTGTCATGTATTTTTGGTGATGGGAGTTGTGTTAAATTTTTATTTGCAGAATTCTACTAACAACTGTTTAAGTGTATCTGAAGTTTGCAGAGGCCTGAACTTCAGCAGCAATGTACCATGTTGTGTGCATAATTATTAAGAAAAATATTGAAAATAAACACATTCATATGAAAACTGTGCATGATTACTTAAAAGTCTTCCTAAAGCAGCCATTTACGCTGGAAGAGGCAGCCTGTATTATTGTTAAAACAATAAAAATTGCCCCTAAATACAGCACCATTTCCAAAAAATACACTGGTATTCTACCAAATGAAATGTAGAAAAAAATGTATATAAACAACACTAGCTAGGATAATACTACAGGACACTTTATTTGTAAGTTCATAATTGGTTGTTAATGGTAACACATCATACAGTATTTCTAAAAAGGTTTTCCAAAACTTGTAGATATAATTTCAATATCTAGCAAACTTAATTTTTTTTGAATGTTCAACTCAGCAACGTAATAGCCTCAATAATTAGAAACTACTTGGTGAGCCAAAACTGTGTCTTCAAAATAAAATACCCTAATGTGACTGCACCTCCAACAAATGCATCATAATATACTTTAAATAAAATTCAAAATATCTGCCATCATGCACTGTAGATTTTAGGGACTATCACTCACTGAAAAATAAACATACTAATGGTTAAAGTTCAAGTGATTCAAATGAATCATTTCAGTTTTATATACTTTAAATATAAAGAAAACATTTGTACTGTGTCCATATTGGTTGGTCCCAATGATGAAAGGCATTTGCTTAAAAGAGTAGATGTGTAAACATGATTTGTCACATTTAAATTGAAAAATAAAGAATCCAGTTTTAAGTAACTTCTTTCCAAAACACTCAGATAAAGTTACTTAAACATCATCAGATCTAAACAAAAAAGTAATTTTTGTGGCTATCACTATTACATTTGCTAGCTTCAGGCCAGCCTTTGAAACTCCACAGGTAAGATCTGTTTAGAAAGATGCACATATTCTTTGTGTTCTTGCAACTGAAATTACTATATGCCTGAAACTGGAGCTCTAATTTAGAGCATGGCCCAGAATGAAAAGCAGAATGAAAACAAAAGCCTTGAAATTCTGCAATTACTTCATTTTTAAATAACCACTGTTATTTGAATTTTTTCTATCAATTCTAATAACTATTTTCCCCTAAAAAAATCCATCCTGCTATGCTGGCTGTTTCTGCATATTTACAAATAATCCCCCCAAAACAGGGGATGATGGGAAAACTCTGATACGTTAAGAAAACTCTATATAATTTCGCATTAATTGTTAATGCAATTTACAAAAATTTCACTGTTTTATCCACAAAATGTGCCACTTTAAATCAATGTCTTCATCAACTAAGACTACAGTTGAAATTATACAATGTAAACCAGAGGTAACATGCATCACCTCAGTTTAATAATCCAGTATATCACAAAAAAAACAAATAAAGAAAAGAGCATCATGTAGCATAATAGCTTTGTCTGGCTTCCTCTGGAGAGTGTTCTCAGTCTGCCCATAGTTGCACCTAGAAGTCCACCCGTAGAGTCAAAATCATTCTCCTACATTAAAAAAAAAAAACAGCCAAGCAAACAAAAGAACATGTTACTCTGAGAAAGAAATACTCTTACCACTCACTAAATATAGTTTTCCCTGTTTTTTCAGTTTCCAGAACTAAAATTATTTTAGAGGCAGAAGCTTTCACCCATTTATCCAGTGGTATTACTACCCCAAGCCGAAGCAAAGTGTAAGCAAAAAAGGCATTTCTGACTCCCTTATTTTTTGCTTCTTTCTTCTATTCTTGAATACAATTAAATATAGAAGTACCTTTTTCATGATACTCGACATTTGCTGATTGAAAACCTATACTCCTATCTGAAGCATAAAGATGAAGATTGTGCCTTAAGAGCAATGTATTTGCACATCTTATCCTTTTGAACAGAAATACTGGTACTGCTGACAAATCAGTCACATGTTACAGTCAACAACAAGCTGTCAAAATTTTAATACCAATGTTCATACTAAAAGACAGGATGCTTTACATTATTAACTTCCAATCCTGACCCATATTTTAAAGAAAGCTAGTTATTCAATGCTTACCATTTCTGATAACATTTTATTCTGGTTTTTAACTTCTGTTCCAATTTCAATGGAAAGCTATCAAAAAAAAAAACAAAACAACAAAAAACCAAAACAAAAATATTAAATATGAAGAATAATTTAATACATAGATTAGAGAACCCAGTCAGAAATACATGACATGACCAGCATTTTCCCCAGTGAAATACATGATATTTTCAAAAACAAAAACATGCACAGTAGTCTATCAATAACCCTTAGGGAAATAAAAGATTTTTCATCTGACTAGATGAGTCTAAAGAGTCACTGGAAGTACTCGATGCTCCTCTTCCCCTTTTCCAGATAATGCATTACTTGAATTATTGGATGGACTTTAAAAAACTCAAGATCTAGTCAAGTCTGAAGTAGCAATTACCCATTCCTGGAACAACTGTTAAAACTGCTGGCACACAACAGAGAGAATCATGAGCATTGGATTGACTCAAAGTGTTGCTGGAGTTGACACTTGTAACCTGCAAACACATCTCTTTTGACAAGCTGCTGCTGTGCTATAAACAGGACTTTCTTCAGTGAACCTGTGTAGCCCTTCTCTGTTTTATGTCACAGAACAGAAGGAGGAGGAAAGCTGCACTGGAGCCAGTCCTGAGACAGTGTCCAGGGCCAGCAACAGCCTGGGCAGAAGCCTGAGACAGTCCCAGGTCAAGCCAGAAAGTGAAGTCAGGTTAGGGTTGGAATGAGGGAGGTATGAGACCAGGCACAGCTGGAGCTGCAACATCACAAAGGTGGGAGCCAGCCAGAAGAGCCTCGGCTTGAAGCAGCTCTGGAGTTAAACAGGGGAGAACTGACACTGAGCCTGACTCTTAGTGGCCTTTCCTCTGTTATCAGCACGCTGGCCTTGAACAACCTGCTCAGCTCCTGGGGTGGAGGGAAATGCACTCCAGGCCCCCATGCTTTGGATTAGCCAAAACCCATTTGTTTACACATGTCAAAACTTGAGTCTCATTATCTTGTACTGATGCATTTCAATCAAGAGTGAAACTGATTTTACATGAGGCTTCTTGGATTATGTGAAGGCTATTCTATATGGCAAGATTATTGCATTGCACTAAAAGACACAACTCCAGAAATATCTCCTTGGGGAACCATGAACTGCTCTGTTGACATACACGGATTTTGAAATGTAACACACCACAGCAGGAGACAAGAAATGAAATTTCATAACAAAGGTCAAAGCTTTTTTTTTACCCTTTAACTTGCTCTATTCATATTCTAAACCTGTATCATTTCTCTTTGAGACTAAACCAATTTTAAGCAACAGTATTAGCAGTAAGATTCGAGTGAGTTCAGGCCTAAAAAATTCACTGTAACGTGCTTTATAAAGCTAAGCTTTTAAGAACAAGAAATCCACACAACTTTAATCTCAGAGCTGTCTTTCAGTTAAGACTTGTTTAAAAGAAGTCTTCAATCTCTGAAAGGAATCAGAACCATCAGAACACCAAACTTTTCCTTCAGAGGATATCAGCATGCTATTTCTAAGAGCTGTTTTCACATGACATCTTTTTTGACTGCAACTCCCATTCCCCATTTCCTTGTACCACTGAGGGTTAAGAAGAATAGGAAATTGGGAGTGAAGCTGAGCCCAGGAAAAAGGGAAAGGTAGTGGCAAGGCATTTTAAGTCTTTTGTTTCTCACTACCCTAGTGATTTGACTGTCAATGAATTCACTTCCCCAAGTCGAGTGTGTTTTGCTCATTATGGTAGTTGGTGAGTGATCTCTCCCTGCCCTCATCTTGAGGCACGAACCTTTCCTTGTGCTTTTTCCTCCCTTGTCCATCCACCTGAGCAGTAACAGAGCAGCTTTGGCAGTCACCTGTCATCCAACCAGGCTAACAATCACTCTTTTAAATTTCTGTTTCAAACTAAGTGTACAGCTTCCCTGATTCATAGAGCTGGATTTCCTGACTGGCAGCACCACTGCAGTTACGTACCGATTTAATGGCACTGACTTTTGTCCGCAGGCTCTCTGTGAGCCTGTTGTTCTCCTCTTCATAAACGCTGTAGCCACTGTTGGTGTAGCCATAGCTCCCTGCAGCTGCTCCATCACCTGCAAGCACAACAGTCAGAAGGCACACTTCCTTCAGAACTCCGTGCATAAACATCCATCCCCTCTTCAGGAACAGCACACAGCTGGGTGGCCTCCACTCCAGCCAAGAGGGAGCTGTCAGTGTGACAGAGGGAAGGACTGAAGACCTAAGCACTACCAAACGCCCACTTCTTAATGAGACACATCCTAACGCCTCTCTTGATTCACTAAGAAGCGTTCCAAGGTTTGTTTTATTTCATGAAAATACTACTGCACAATACAAATCTGAAGGGTAGGAGTAAATCTAGGGTAGTGTCAGACACGCCTGGTTCAGCCCTAAATACTTTCTAGGAGGAAGCCCCAGAACTCAGTCATGCACTGAGGGGTGTAAACATCTCCTAAGCTTTGCAGTGCCGTCACAGCACCCACATGGCTGTAGAACATGACGTGGGAGTTCAAAGTTTCCTTCTAGTCATCAGCATGACTGCTGGCTGAAAAATGAGGCCTAAGCTGCTCGAACACTCAGCAGGAACTCTGCAAGGATTTCTCAATTTGCACCAGATTATATCTGTAATAAATTCATAACAGTTGGGATTCTTGTTTTCTTACTCCTAAACATGGCAGGAAACCATGGAGAAGCACTTAAAAAAACCCCAAATTAACTATTTATGAATTTGGAGAGGAGTAGATAGAAGAGCAACAAATCTGCCTATAAATTGGAACACAGCTCAAACTAACATGGTATTAGAACAACAAAACAACTGCACAACTAAATGGGGCAAGGCTATTTACAAGAGCATGTAGTGACAGGACAAGGGGAAGGGTTCAAATTGAAAGACAGTAGGTTTAATGCAATATTAATAAAGAATGCTTTACTGCGAGGGTGGTGAGGCACTGGAGCAGGCTTCCAAAGAAGCTGTGGGTGCCTGCCCATCCCTGGAAGGGCTGGATGGGCTCTGAGCAGCCTGGTCCAGAGGAA